ACAAGTCTTATTATTTCGAGAACCAATCCGGCAGGTCTAAATAGTCAGGTCACCCGGTACGTTTCCCCTCTGGCAATGTTCACTTCGCCAACGCGTCCAAGAAACGCGATCACCGGACCAGCAAAAAATCACATTCTGCCGTTGGTCGATCGAGAATGATCGAGACCCACGAGGACAAATTCAGCGATCTACCGAGAAGAAAAATGCGCCGAGCGAATGTATTACGATACGATCTCACCTATACCAACTATTTAACGCGTCATGGTTGCATCACGCTTGCGACGATGATTTATCGCGCTCTGTTCTTCCTCCGCTGCCGGACAAACCATTGACAGAGTCGAAAGTCATTTTCACTTTTCAACAGATGCAGCAGATTATTACCAATATATTCAAAGTAAATCGGCGCTCTTCCCAGCGCCGAGAAACTTTTCATCCCTTTCCTGTTGCGCGTAATATAAGATCGGAACGTAAAGAGAAATTAGAACCGGTGGAACACGTCAAACGCATTTACAATCGACTAGGTAAATAAATGTCAATCAATTTTTACCAACAACAAAGACGCAACGAAGCAACGATACGTAAGATACGATTCAACTTATTAGACAAATTACCCTAGATTTCAGTTCACCGTTATCGCACGATTTCATCAGTGTTCTCTAATTGTTACGAAGAAGTTTGAAAAGCATTCACTCTTTGGCAAGAACTTGCGAACAAATTGAAATTTCACGTGCTCGGAGAAGGAGAGGCTAGCACGAATTTCCATCCAAGTATGACTCATCTGTGGCGGCGCGCGTATTTTTAAAACGAGTTCAACAGCGGCGACGTTGATTAGAAATGAAGAAAGAAGAGAATAAAATAGCGGATAATATACATTGTAAAAATTTATATGAATAATTACAGATTTCTCGCAGTATATTTATTGAAAGGATATAGTTACATGAAGGAAACGCTGCATCGCGCCGCATGCATTTTTTTTTCTTAAGTCAGTTCGTGCACTGAAATCGGTGAATAATCGTCGGATTAATTCAACTGGGAAAAATTTATTTCAGCTATGGCGAATGTCTGGCGCCTTTCGACTAATAATTTCTACCGTCCAAGAGATTTCATTTAAACCAAGTGGATTGCTTAATTCGTCGGGGGCAAGCACGGAGCTTGCCCGATGATGACCGGTAACCGGCGTGTGCGGCGTGGCGCGTTTTGTTGAATCGCTAATCGCGACGTTGGATCGTTCCTCGCCATTCGACTACAACGCTGCTCGTGGAAAATTCGAGACTTGTTTCGAATTTTTTCTGTCCGCTCCACAGAGCGTGAATTTCTTCGAGTAGGCGTTTCTTTTCTCGCCAGTCTCGCCAGTGGCCAGTTGGGACGGAAAATTTCGTCAAATGAAATTTTCTCAAGTCTTCAAGTCTTCGTATTTATTGGCATTATACGCATCGATCTGAGTTCGTTCAAGAAGACACAGACTGAGTAGATGAAATTTTCGTTTTCCAACGAAACGTAACTGCGTAGACGACGCGGCTCATTAGCAAGCGGTTGAACTCGATCCGTCCGATCTACACCAACTATAGTCTCTGCAAATCAGAAGAAGTGGCCATGTAATTTCTGTGTAAAGTAGATCGCAATACTCGCATTGGAGAATTTTAAATGGGAATATTTTCTCAATATTTTCTCACGAAACAGAATCTACGTAGAGACACGCATTTGTTGCGCCTACGAAAGAAACCAATCTGACTTATGTCGATTTGAACTCAAATGATGTAAGATTTTAAAAAGTCGAACAGACTTGATTATTAAACTCCTGCATTTAAAATTTATCTTAACACTAAACGTACCGGCATTTTACACATACCTATCTTACCATAAGGGGTCAAATAAGGTATGCAAAGAATTTTTCTCAGTAAAAAATAAGCTAAGAGAAAAACAAGAAAAACGAGAATTTAACAAATCAGATAGAGCTAAGAGAAGAACAGAAAACGAGAAATTGAATAATCAGATAATATAAGAAATTTACAAATAGTCAGATTAGCGAGAGAAATAACAACGAATGTACGATTTTTAAGTAAATTTTGAAAAGGGGTCATTTAGGGGACCCCGCTTGGTACGTTTGGTAGTGTTAATTCAACATCGAAGTCGCAATCATTTTTTTCTATATGATCTATAAAAAATTATAACGCTGTTATCCCTAAGATAATTTACTCTAATAATTTTAAATTAAAGATCGAAAAATTTTCTTCAATCAAAGTTGTACAAAAATTAAAGTTTTCTAAATTTAATAATCCTTCCAACTAAATAGTAACTTGAGTTTTATATTAGATACAGAAATAAGTTAATATAAAATTCTATTTTCTTAGTCCCAAATTTAAAAAAATTTCAACATTTTGATTAAAATTTTAAATTCATAATATATATATATATATATTTAATCTTTTCATTCCGGATTTAATTTAAAAATTAACTGATAATCATAAGAAAAGGAAGGAACTTTGCCATCAAAGTTTTCAAGCGTAATGTCGTCCAAGTGATTTGATTGTACAGGTATTGTCTGCGTGTCGATGCAGCGTTGTACGATCTGAAACAACGAGCATAACGTGTGAGAAATTGCGCAAAGATCCGAGTGGCGATTCGAGTGTGCAAGGGGGTCGAGCGTTCCCGCGTGATTGCCAATCGGCCCCGAAGAAGAAATATTTTTCCAGAGACGGATTTGCAAGGAAAGCCGCGCGATTCCCTCGCGTTTGCGGAAACAAAGCCGCGTCCTGAGAACCGTTGCCTAATTCGCAAATAAAAACGCGATGTTCGAAACGAACGCGAAACGAAAGCGCGTACGTGCCTTGGTTGGAATGAAACACGCGCTGACTTTATTCTTCGAACAGCTTATTCTTCGTTGCCTGAAACGTATCCGTTTGAAAAACAGAGGTAGCCTACTTGATTAGTTTTTGGTCAGAGTGATCGGTTTGTCCGATTCAGTGTCGGGGTTGGTCTGCCTTGGATAATGAAGCAGGGAGCCTGAGAAAGTCCGACTAACGCATAGTTACCCTCATTACTAGCGAAAGAACTTTATCATCAGTAATAATTGCTAATCGATACAGACGGACCGATACATTCCAGCTGACTTTTAACAACTGAACCTATTACCCGAACCTATTACCCGTTCACTTTAACGATTAGATCGCATATTCCTTTTCTTTTTATTTTCTCTCTCTCTCT